ATCCATGAAGAAATCAGTTCATACCGGAATAAAATGGGTTGACTTAGTCAATCTATCTATGATCACCTAGATTGAATCCTTTTTGTTCAGAGTTAAAGGCAACCTCGTGACAAAATCCATCGTTATGTTTTCCCATTTCCATTGAGGAATTGAAATTGGTTGTAACAATCCTACGGAACCTGATGCTCAGCTTTGACTTGTTGAAAAGTCAAACACTTTGATACAAATTTCGTAATGTCTTTCTTCATTCCCGGCCACCAATATCGACTCTTGAGATCCATATACATTTTGTTAGTTTTATATCGATTTAAGTATCGGATTTATTTCTATCAAATTTTATATTTAAGTTTAGATTATGTTAGTTTGATGCTAACATATAATTTGAATATTTTATGTTATTATATAATGTCGTCAAATAAAGGTAAATCTAGTGATTCAAGTAACTTGAAGGGAAGAAAAAAGTAGGGATCGAGAAGATTATTGTGGAGAAGGTTCGATAGCGAGGCAAAGGTGAGTGCATTTAATTCGTGTTTGTTTTATCGTACAAATATTGGTTTGCGATGAGCCAGTGTCGGAGTAACTACAGTAAGAAGTGACTCCTAATGTTATGTGAATTGTGACTCTAGCGTAAAGGTTCATTTATTAAGCTTACAAAATTATGAAATTAAGCTAAGTAATTAAGGAAAGTTGTCTAGAAATTTACCATAAATTATACAGAATTGATTAGAGGATGATCTCTATACCGTTAGATTCGTATATTAGTCTAGCTTTGTTTAAACCGATTGTGACTGATTTAGAGGTGTACACAAAAATATATATGAATTTTTAATATGTGATAGGTCAGAAAATATGACAACAGATTCTGCCCGAATCAACTTCTGTCAGTCAACTTTGAAAATTCGCTATAAATTGTATAAGTGGAACTAGATGCAGTGCCTTATATGGTTAGATTTGTATTTGAGTCTAGTTTTCATTAGTGCAAATAGAATAATTTTAATTATATTAATAAATACAGAATAATATTTGTTTGAAGGTAGTGCAATCAGCCAGAATATAGAATTTTGATAAATTATATATTAAAAGTAGTCGAAGGCAAATGATTTAAATCTAAAGCTTAGTGAGGTTTATATTTTGATTTAAGTAATAATAATAATAATAATAATAAAGTGAGGTTTATATTTTGATTTAAATAATAATAATAATAATAATAATAATAAAGTGTTAAAGTGACTACAATTTGTTTATTGATTATTATAGTTGAGGACGACTTGTGATAAGTCAACTTTATTTTATTTTTTTAGTATGATTTATAAATTTTAGTATGGAATATTTCTATAAAATTTTCATCAAATTTTATGAATGATTTTGGGTATGAACTGCCCAAGTATGATATTTATGATGATGAATTCTAAATATTTACAGTTATCAGATGATTTTCAGTTATCAGATGATTTTCAGTTATCAGATAATTACAAATATAAGATATTTTACAATTATCAGATACATATTAATAAATGATTTTATGATGATAAATATTAAGCCCATTGTATGTTACATTAAAAGTCGTATGTGCAATTGCTATACCATTAAGTGAGTACTTATCAGTTCAGATTTGGTACATTTGTGCATCAATGTTCAGTTATCAGTTATCAGATCAACTTTGGTACATTTGTGTATCAATGTTCAGCATCGTTGGTGCTCATTCAAGTTATGACTGCAATGAAGTGCATCATATATCAGATTCAGTTATGATTCGACATCGTGTTGTGCCTAGTGCGCACCTTAAACTCACGTACATTATATTCTCTTACACATACATTGGGCTATAGCAATAAATATGAAAGTTATGACAATATATGAAAGAAAGGAACATAAAATTGAAAACAAAGTATTGAAATATGTTCGAATGAAAAGAACAAAAGTTATTTATGATATTCGATGTTGACTTACGTGACTTTTGATAAAATCATGAGATGATTTTTCAGGTTTTCAGAAGGAAAAACGACTTGACTAGCTGGGTTTGAAGTTTTAGTGTTTTTATTTAAATTGTAGTTGATTGCTTATATTTTATAGATTTTACGTTTTAGTTATATTTATGCTTCACTAAGTTTTACTTAGCACGTGATGATTTTCATGCGTATGTTTGAATAAAGTAGAGGTCGTGAAGTGAGAAGCTTGCCAGCATCTTATGCAAAATCAAACCTACCGACAGTATCAGTAAGACATCCTAACTTTGACTTATTAGTGGCGTGTACGTTATATTTGTTGGGTTGCTTTATCATATTTATTTTTAAAATGGGTTTGAAATAGTAATTAAGGTTATTTTCTTTAGTTTTGTCTAATTTTAGTATTAATCATATTTTGAGAGAATATTATAAATTTTATATTTTAAATGATTTAAAATCAAACAGTATTAGACGATTGTGTTTGATTATGAAACAACACTAAACTGCTTAATTACTGACTGAAATCAAAATAGTTTTCAATGATCAAACAATATTTTATAAATTTATATGATTAAGGAAAAAAATTTAAAGTTAAAAACTAAATTATTAAATGAAACAAAATTTTAAGCATTTAAGTTCAGAAAATATCAGTTGAGTTGATATGACATCTGTAGCTCGTATTACGAGAGATATATGTGTTATGTGTGTTACATTTTGTGTATGTAGAAAATCTCTATTGGAAGACTTACCTACTAAAGTCAGGTGTGTGACCTGAACGATTCGGATTAATTAGGGTGAAATCTTAAGAACGAGAAGGGCAATAATAATAATAATAAAAAACTATGATTTTCTCCCTAAATATCCGAATTTATAAATCATTTCACACAAACATAAAAAAATTGTCTAAATATTTTTATCTTTTACCTAAACATTTCCTTAAAGATTTTTCAAGATTTATTTCGTTCTTCTTCAACAATCAAGGTAAGCAAACGTTTTTTAATCAATTTCCCAACTATTTTCCAATTAAAAACAAGATCTGATCCAATAAATCAAAGAATCCAAAATTTATGAAGATTTTTTAAGTTCTCGAGCTTTCAATGGTAGATCTCATAAATCCAAGTTAATTTGTGATTTCTAATTTATTTTAATTCGGTTTAATTTATCAAATATAAACATAGAACTAAAGATTTGATGATCTGTCTCTCTAATTTTTAAGCTCGGTTTTTTAGAAATTAATGATTTGTTGATTTTGAGTGTATTAGATCATCCTAATAATTTTATTGAGGCGATTTAAATCATAATCAAGTATTAAATTTGATATTCGACCATAAGATTAATGCTTCTTTTTAAACAAGTGATGATTTTAGTTTTAAGGGATCTAAATGTTATGGTCAAATATTGTTTTTGAGCTTAAATATTGAAGAAAATTAATTATGGTTTCAAAATAAATTCAGAAAGTTAGGAATAAAAAAAATGTATAATTTAAATTGTCTCAAAGCGATAAGTCATAAAAGAATAGTACTTAGCAATAGAGTTAAAACTGAAAATCAATTGTTGTGGAATCCAAATCTTTACAGACGGAGTTGCCATAATCAGAGCCTACACAAATTAATATTTAGGAATTTGAACATCATCTCCATAATGGTCTACTGACTTCTTAGGTTATAATTTGATTATTCAAACAATCAGTTTATTAAATCCTACTTGCTAATGCACTCTGATGTCAATTAGATCCCTTAAAAAAATTAAGAATATGTGAATAAATCAATAGAAAATAAATACGAGTCACGTAAATTAAGTTAAAGATTTGAAGTCAATAGTTGAAGGTCAAAATCAACAGTCAATAATCAACATTTAATGAGTCAACAATCAACAGATTAACGATCAACGAGTCGATTCGGTGAGTCAGAAAAGTTTGGGTTGACAAATACGGATCAAAACAGTTACATGTTAAGTTCAATTTAGGTACGAATATAGAAACAATTTGGGTAAAGTCAACGGATCAGTCAACAAATCGAATATGAATCAATCAACTAGTCATATACTGATCGGTTAAGTAGGTCAGATATGGGTTGATCAAATAGATCAGTCAACATGTCAAATACGGATCGTTTAACAGGTCAAATATGGATTTGTTAACGAGTCGGATATAGATCAGTCAACGATCTTAGCATGCTCACGGTCGATGGTCACTGAGGTGGTTTAAGAGGGTTTTTTTTTGTATAATCACCAGTTTTTGATTTATTAATCGACTAGTTCAGATTGGATACTACAGAGGCAATGACGACCATCCCAATCTAGTTTGCTCTATTCACAAGCACCAAGATTCGAACCCCAAATCTTACTTAAGAGATCTAGTGCCTCATCCCACTAGATAAACTAATTGTTGGTAGATTTAAGAGGTTGTTGGGGGTTCAAACAGTTTATTCGGTTACTGATCAAATCGAATTAACCAAATTCGAATTAATTGAACTTTTTTCTTTAATTGTTAATCGAATGGAAATATTTTTGAAAATTATTAACCGAACCAAACAAAGTTCAGTTAATTCGATCAATTTTTGCATTAATTGGAATTTATTGTAATTTTTTTTAATTAGATTAATTTGAGTCTAGTACAATTTTTTTTCATTTGGATTAAAATTCGATTGGGTCGACAAAATGTTTAATGGGTATAGTATGATTAAAAAATAATTAGGTATTAATTCTTAATGGGTTGAACTTAAAATATAATATATATATATATAATAAAATATTTAATATTTTATTTAATTAACCGATAATCGAATTTTAAAAAAATCATTAATCGATCTAATATCTAATTAATCAATTGATTAACTGAACTAAATTTTAATTCGATTGAATAATTCGGTTAAAATGGAACAATGTAAACTCTCATGAGAGAATCGTTAATTTGTTTCGTTATCGCATAATAAAGCAGAATCCAAACTATTGAAATCTAGTTGGCTGCATGAAAGCATGGGTATTTTCGACTTTGGACCATGTTTCGACCGAGAGTTGCAGAATCCAAGCTGGCATTGGAGTTGGTTCAATAAATGAATAGCAAAAGATCATACTTTTATTTATTGACCTTTATGTTACAATGGAAACAAACTCGAACTTTCTTTTGCAAACAAACAGTACATGAAATTCATAATCACAAGCTTTTGTATGATGTGTATGTGTGTGTGTGTGTCTGGTTTTATAGATATAATGGATGATCCATGGAAAGAGATCTTATTACCTCCTTTATTAGGTTAGTAGCAACCATTGAGAATTTATAGATCTATGGGTACGACCAGCGGGGAGTTACCCTTGTCGACGACAAATGTTTTTGTGACCTTCTTGGAGGCAGTAACGAGTTCCACGTCATATGTCCCATGAAAGCCTCGGAATTGGAACTGTCCTTGTTCGTCTACATGTCCTCGAGCATGAGACAACCACTCGTGTTTAAGAGCAAGAAACCTTTTACCAGTTTCGTTGATATCGCCTTCAGCATTGACCAAATGTGCGTTGTCCCTGCTCATGAACAACTCCCAAAATCCCCACAACATTACACCTTCGACGGCGGGATGGGCGAAAGCTTCTCTAAGCATAACTTCCAAATCTTCCCCTCTCACGTGTTCATTAACCGAAGACACATCAAGCTCCGTAAACCAGATAGGAAGACCAAGAATGCCTAACTTATCCAGAGCTGTACACACAACTGGTCCCACAGGGCTATCAATATGTCCTTGAATTCCGAGTCCTCCAACGGGTGCACCTTGCTCCTGCAAATCAAGAATGTGTTCGATATACCTTTCAGGGCATGATCGGGTGTCACATCCGTCTTCAACATGATAATCATTCACAAATAGGATGGCAGAAGGATCTAGCTGATTTGCATTCTTAAACATATTTGCTCGGATATCTTTGCCCAATCTGTCTTGATAAAACGATCCATGCATCATCTCATTGTTCACATCATAGTGCCTGAACTTTCCCTTGTAACGGGTTAGAAGGTCGGTTAGACGGTTTTGAACAGCTTTCTTTAAGTCATCTTTGCTCAATGCTTGAATCCATTGCTGGACTGTGTCTTGTACTTCCCAAAAAATACAATGACCTCGGGTTTCGATGTTGTGGTTTTGGCACAAAGCCAGTAAATCGTCAGCATCTTTGTAGTTAAAATTTCCTCGTTGTGGTTCGGTCCAATACCACTTCAATTCATTTCCAAACACTACCCAGTTGAAATTCTTCACAAAGAAATTAACAAAATCTTCATTGTCGATATTTGTTCTGCTAATGCACGACCCTATAGGGAAACTATTTTGCATTTGCACAACTTTCACCAAGGTGCCCGACAAACTGCCTGAACCAGCTCCTGAGAATTTGAGGATGACATCACGCTTCCGAATCTGTATTTGAGCCAAAGACATTCATTGGAAGTAAGAAATGAGCCAGGACTAATATTTCAAAGATAAGTAAGAAAAAGTCGTGTCGATGTTTCTAGGGTTAAATGTAGCCTACATTGTCAGAATGAAAATATTTGCAGTTTCTATCTGCAATCTTCTGACCATCTCATGATAAAAGGCAACAGATTCTGTTCTTATTTAAGGTTAAAACAATCTCAGTTTCCATTTTTCTGTTTGAAGTTATAATGTCTACATATTTTGATTACGTAAATACTACAGAAACCGCAAGTAGATATACCTGATTAGTTTGATGCCTCAGATGTTTGAATCTTGCCTCACGATCAACAGGGAAGATCTGAACTCCAGCAACCATTAAATCAACACCTGCAGCTGGACCCTGGATATAAACCATAACCTTGGATGGTTGTTTCTCGATTCTAAAGGAACCACCAATTTCGTGCCACCTGTCATCGTTAATCTCAACTTGTCCACCATTAACCCATTGGCTGTCCACACCGAGTGCAACATTCACATTTTGAGGACCATTTGCTCCAGAACCAAGGCGAACCCAAGCAGATACTTGGTATGTCAAGAAAAGTTTCAGCTTATCAGTGATCATCTGAGCTGGACCCATCCAAGTTTGTGTGCGGTTTTGAACATGGATATAGCGGCCACTTAAAGGTTCATGGATACCAAGGGAAGCTCTTGCCATAGGGGGGAGTATATGTGGTGAGCCTAATCCAACACTCAAATTGCAATTGCCAAGAGGAAACCATCCATTCGTTCCGTCATTTAGTTGGCTGTTTGTGATTATATTAACTCCAAAATCAGGATTCTACAAAAACTAAGAACACATAAGGAAAACCTCCCATAATTGGTTATTTATAAAATATGCACAACACAAATATGTTCAACTTTTTCAAAGTTTTTCCGTATGTTTGGAAAATCAGAATCCACACCCATATACAAACATGTGGCAAATGAAAAACCTAGTTTGTCACTAGATTGACTCCAAAATATGAATGCTCATATGAGTTAATGGAAAGCATATGGCAAAACCAAGCATTCATATCTTCTCTAAAGATATTTGAAGCAATAACAAATTCCCAAATGAAATTATTCAACTCACCTCAATAACTGGTGGAGGTGAAGGAGGGATTTTCTCAGCATGCTTTACAACCAAGGCATTGACAAGAAGGTCGGTGCCTGGAGGTGGACCTTCTAAATAGATGACTACTCTTGATGGGGAACCATTTAGAAGGAACTTTCCTTGCAATTGCACCCAATCCTTGTCGGTTGCCTGCACACTTTACGATTAAAGCAAAAAAAGAAAGAAAAAAGAGAATGTGTAAGGGTTCAGAGATTCTACGTGAAAAAGCACTAGTACTAGGATTGTAGGACAGTTGGAAAAAATAACAAACTTACTTAGCAATTCCAACGTACTGATCATTGCGACCTGGTGTTTGGACCCATAACGTGGCCTGTACAGTAGCAGTTGTGACATTGTTACCAAATATCCGTACTACAGCTTCTACATTATAAGCAAGCTTTCGCTGCACTCTTCCAGTGATCTCCTGCTGGATTCCGTTCCAGTTCTGTGTGCGCTCTGTAGCAGAAGCGAAAACTTTGCCAGATTGTGGGACTATCTTCCCATCTGCCATAGAATCATGTAAAGCAACCTTGCAGCCTCTTCCGGACCAGTTATTGAGGCCATCTTCAAATTTAGGGTTTATGATGATGTTCACATCTCCAGCTCCTATTCTTGCACTCTTTGAAAATAAAAAGGATGCCAAAAATATCAAAATAACATAAAGATCATTTTGACTTGATGAAAATGAATATAGTATAATATTCGGTTAGAAATGGACGTTACCTCAGATTTGCTTGAACTGGAACAGCTAATCACCACTGAATCAATTAGCAGCTCAACGCCAGGCGAAGGCCCTTCCAAATAAAAAACAAGCCGTTCAGGCATGGTAGATAATGAGAATGTACCTTCCACAATTTCCCACTTCTCCTTTGACACAGACGTTCTGCAATGAGAAATATTATTAAGAAAAAGGCTTCCTTTTCAAGCCCTGAACACAAAGAAATGTAATGCAAATAAAGTAAAGAACATTACTTTCCAATTAACAAATAGCTAGTGGCTGAGCCATGGTTTTCTAGCTTCAACGTTGCCAGCACATCCATAGATCCCGAAAGAGGTCCCGATACTCCAACACAAGCAGAAACCGAGTATGCAGAGCCCGGAGAAATTTTGTCTGTGATATCTTGCTGCAGACCCTGCCAGCATTCCGTCCGATTCGTGACAACTGCATAGTTACCACCAGACCTTGCTGACAGTTCACCTCGTTTGCCAAACTCAGCTGAAACTACAAAGCCATTGCAGCAATGCGGATGCCAAGAATGCAGTCCATCGGAGAAATCATGATTTACTATTATATTAGCAACTGAATTGCCAGTTGGATTCATCTTTTTTTGGTTGAAGTTCTGCCATGAAAAGGAATTGGATGGTAATATTCACTACAAGAATATAATAAATCACAATATAACCATGGAAAATAAACTTAAAACATGAAATATGGAGGCACACTGAAATATGAAACGAGTAAAAGGCGGAAAATTAACAATAAACAACCAAAATTAGGGAGAATAATATGAAAATGGATACCCATTTAAGCCAGAAAAAAAAAAAAAACAAAAGAAAACCAATGTGATAGGAATAGAATAATAGGATTCAAATAATCGAGAAAGAGAAAAGCTCAAACCTCAGAGTTGCCATTGTCAGACTTCATTTGGGGGTTCTCCATGGTTTCTCCGGATTTCTAACAACAAACACCAAAAGAACAATCATCAACAAAAACAGAGAACAAAACATTGAAAATTTCTCACTTTTTGCAAAGAAACGAAGTAGAAATGTAAGAACAAGAAACCTTAAGAGAATGCTTATGCTGTTGACTGTTGAAGCAGCAAACGGAGAGCCTCCTCATTTATAAGGCTCTGGAAATCAAACCCTTTGTTGCGGAGAGCTTTGAAAGTGGAGTCTAAGAAAAGCGCGGGACCTAACAAACTCAACCAATCGAAGTTATCGAACCACTTTACTCTTCAGCAAAAACAGAAGAAAAAAAAGGCCGTTGACAACTGACAAACATCAGTTTTGTCGGATTTTCTCGGTTTTTTTAAGGATAATTGGTTCTTCAATGCCATATCTTTGTCGTGCAGACTGGGTAACACCCAATTTGCATTTGGATGCTTGAATTGGAATAGAAGGATTAAGCAATTGGGGGAGTGCTCCTTCTGTTCACTGATTTAATGTTTATTAAAAAATGGAGTCTTTGGTTTCAAGGAAAATGCTTGCAAAATTAGGTGGGGGAAGATGGGATTTCACTGACATCTACTTATGACAGTTCAATCTTCATACCGTTGATTATTCAATCCTGAATTAGTAGCATTATACTAGGTTAAATACCAATTCCATTATTCAACTTTTTTTCTCTCATCTTTTGATCATTAAAATTCCAAACTTTTTTAATTTAACCACTTAATTTTTAAATTTCTTTTTTTATCGCTCCACATTAAATCATAAAAGATACAATGACATGAATTATTTTAATAATAGTTTATACCAAAAATTTTAAAATAAAAATTAAATCTCAAACTCAAAACTCTTACTTACAATCTCATTAGGTATCTCAAATACGATGAGAATAGAATTGAATACAAGAAAGTATTTGTTCAAATACTCTCAACCATTAGACAATAAACGTTCATATCCCTGTATACGCGGTACTCGAACCTTGGACCAAAACTAAAGTTGTTTGGTCCGTACCGAGTATATATGTGTTTTAAATATGTTTCGTATTACATTTAAATTGTTATTTAATGTCTAACCTAGTGATGAAATTGATGAAAAAAACTCGATTAATACGATAATAATAGGTTAAAGATTCAACTAGAATATTTTAAAGTTTAATAACTAATTTAAAATTCAACATCATTAACTTTCGTTATTTATATATCTTGTAAACTTCTATGGTAGGAAATGTCTTGATATGATATTAGCAGATTGAAGGAAGTTTGGAGCTTTGCGTGTGGCTAAGAACAAAGAACCATCCCCATGATGGGTCTAATTAACCTTTGCAATGGCTTCTTTTAACCAATTGGGATGAGCCTAAAAAACGTATCCGCTTCACTAAATGACGGCAGCCTCCTGTAACAGCTTTTGAGCGTTCAAACCAGATAGGATTATCGATTAAAATTACAAAGAGAATATAAAGAATATATGTTAATTTGAAATTTTCAGAAGAGACGATTGCCCCATCTGTCCCTTTAACTTATCCCTGCATATATATAGTGTCTCAAGAATCTTCTATTGTTATGGAATGAAAAATAGTCGAGCTTTATACATTTTATGTATGCCAAAATATAAATACTATTATTAGTTTTTGTTTCTACGTAGAGTTTAGGGTTTGAATACCGTTATATAGACTGATTGTAGATGATCTACATTTTTTGTACATGTAGGTGAATTGCTTGCAACTGGAAATATTATTTATCTCATTGGCTTTAACTGCTTAATCTATTTTCAGTCAAATAAAATGATATCCAAAAGAGTGTAAAGAGGCAGATAGCGGCTTGGAAGCATGCAACTCCATGCATGTACGCGGGAATTACATTTAGGGATGTAGACAAGACATTTGCATTTACAACTATATTTTTCACTTTGAATTTCATTTGGTCATTTTTGAATTGATCTTAATCACGAGTAGCTTAAACTGTTGAAGAAATTGAATTCAAGTACTTCATTATTTGATTCAAACTGCTTGCGAAGGTGGTGTAATTTAGGGGCTATAAGTTTATGATTTCACAATTAAGAATATTATTTAGATGAGAACTATAATAATTTTGAGAAGTTAAGTTTAGATGAAGAAATAAGCTTAGAGATTGTTTTTAACGAGGGTTGATTATGTTCAGGTTCTCCTACCTATCATTTATAAAAAAATAAATTTAGAATTTCAACAATATGAAGTTGATTAAGGATCATGTCCATGAGAGAGAAGAAAAACTCTATTTCAGACGATTATGTTGTATTTCTCCAAGAAAATGAAGATGACAATTATCAGTGTACGCCCAAAGATTAATTATGAGATGATTGTAATTACATACTTGTTCACCTTAAGACAAAGGTCCTTAGTCAAGTATTATTGTAGGTTTGGACAACAATAATGCAATAACATTAATGTGTAGTAGATTTATAAGAAAGTGTTGTCATTGACGTAAGGATATCATGTTGCGGAAGACGGCTATCGGATAGAGCAAAATCGCAACTGATAATTTGAGAAAATAAAAATAAAGATAAAATAGACACAAAATTTACGTGGAAAACCCCTAAAAATTTAGGGTAAAAACCACGGGCAACGGTAGAAGAATTTCACTATGAGAAAATAGGAATTACAACCTCTCTCGATCTACCAAGGAGAAAACAATGATAATTCTCTCTAGATAAAAAGGAGAAAACAACTCTCAAGAAACTCTCTAAAATCTCTCTAGTATTGGAAGAAAGCTAGAATGCTTTGGGATGGTTTTGAAGCTAAATGAGCTAGGGTATTTATAGTTGAAACTTAAGGACTAATCTTATAAATACCCTAAATTACAATGACTAAAATTAATTATCCCATTACCCAATTTCAACAAAAATTAGGTGCCTAATTTTTGACTTTGACAAAGCACCATTTGGTGCCTAAATTATTTGACTTTTAACAATCTCCCACTTGAAGATTTGATTGGAATAATCATATCTTCACACCATTCTTTCTACCTTGTACCTTCATGTTGCTTACATTTCTGACAGGCTACAGGAGGATCGACACCAGGTAAATTTATCAGCATTGATTGCCTTCGTCATGAAATCTGCTATGTTATCTTTGGTATGGATCTTCTGCATATCTACCGTTCCTTCTTCCACCTTTTCACGAATGAAATGGTACTGAACTAGTATGTGCTTTGTCCTTGAATGAAATGTTGGATTCCTTGCTAGATTGACTGTCACAAAACAGAGAGACATACTCTTGATTGTGCCCAAGCTTCTCCAATAGCATCTTCAACCAAATTGCTTCTTTACTGGCTTATGTAGCTGCTACATATTCTGCCTCTGTTGTGGACGTAGCCACAACTGACTGCAATTTTGAAACCCAGCTTACAGCTCCACCAGCAATTTTGAACACATATCCTGTAGTAGATTTGCTTTTATCCAAATCCCATGCATAGTCAGAATCTACATAACCATTGATTAGTAAGTTTGATCCTCCGTAACATAATGCAACATTTGAGGTCCCTTTGATGTATCTGAGGATCCTATTTACAATATTCCAATGCTCTTTGCCTGGATTCGCCATGTACCGACTAACCACTCCCACTGCTTGTGCAATGTCTGGTCTTGTGCATATCATAGCGAACATTAAACTTCCCACTACTAATGCATACAGTACTCGAGACATCTCCATCCTCTCTTCTTCACTGCTAGGACTCATACTGGAGGATAATTTGAAGTTAATAGGAAGAGGGGTAGAAATTGGCTTACAATCTTGCATGTTGAATCGTGACAAGATCTTCTTCAAGTAATTCTTTTGTGAAAGCCAAATCTTCCTATTACTTCTGTCTCGGTGAATTTGCATCCCTAGAATCTTGTTTGCTGATCCCAAGTCCTTCATTTAAAATTCCCTAGACAGTTGTGCCTTCAATTCTTCAATATGATCTTTGTTGGGTCCTGCAACCAACATGTCATCCACATACAACAGCAAAATAACAAAATCGTTATCACCAGACCTCTTGAAATAAGCACAAGGGTCTGCATTAAGTCTGTTGTATCCAAGGCACATAATGAAAGAATCAAATCTCTTATACCAATACCTCGGCACCTGCTTTAGACCGTACAGAGATTTGTTCAACCTGCAAACCAAGTTCTTCTTTTCTTTTTCTTCAAAACCTTCAGGCTGGAGCATATAAATTTCTTCTTCAAGATTTCCATGAAGAAAAGCTGTTTTAACATCTAGCTGCTCTAGATGTAAGTCCAATGTAGCACACATTGCCAAAACTACTCGAACTGTTGTTAGTCAAACCACAGGAGAAAATATTTCATTGAAATCAATACATTCTTTTTGAGCATATCCTTTGACCACCAGTCTTGCACGATACCTCTCAACTTGATCGTCACCATTTCGCTTGATTTTGAAGACCCATTTGTTACCAATCGGCTTCCTTCCTTGTGGTAGTGGCACAAGGTCCCATGTATTATTTTTATGAAGGGCTTCGATTTCTTCTTGCATCGCCATCATTCACAGTGAAGCATCTGAGCTTTTTATTGCCTCCTGGTATGTTGATGGCTCACCGTCCTCTGTTAAAAGGCAGTATGCAATATTACCTTCTATAACATAATCTGAGTGCCAATTGGGACGTCTTCTCACACGATATGATTGATGAGTTGTTGGAGCTTCAGAACTCTCTGGTTCTTGTTCATCATGTGCTGGTTCTGCTTCAGAAGAATCTCCTTCTTCAAAATCTTTTTCCACATGTATCTGAGTAGTCTCTGACTTTTTAGCGCTATCATCGTCTTCTTTTCTTTGTAGTTTATCCTCTACAAAGATAACATTCATGTTGATGATCACTTTGCGGGCAGTGGGATCCCACAAGCGATACCCCTTGACTCCATCAGCATACCCCAAGAATTTGCATTTCCTGGATTTTGGATCCAGCTTTGAGATTTCTTGGGGGTTGTACATCACGTACACAATACTTCCAAATATATGGAGGTTTGAATAATCAGCTGGTTTACCAGTCCACATTTCCATTGGTGTCTTCAGCTCTATTGCAGTTGATGGAGCTCGATTCACCAAATAACAGGCGGTATTGACTGCTTCTGCCCAGAATGATTTTTCTAGCCCTGCGTCCCTCAACATTGCTCTTGTTCTTTCTAACAAGGTTCTGTTCATCCGCTCTGCCACTCCATTTTGTTGAGGAGTGTTTGCCACTGTGAACTGTCTTTTGATGCCTTCTTTCCTGCAAAAGTCATCAAATTCTTCGCTTGTGTATTCTCCTCCATTATCTGTTCTGAAACACTTGATCTTATTTCCAGAATCAAGTTCCACCCGTGCTTTGAAGATTTTGAAAGTTGAAAACACATCTGACTTCTTCTTAATAGGATACACCCAACATCTCCTAGAGTAGTCATCAATAAATGAGACAAAGTATTTTGCTCCACCTAGGGATGTAACTGGTGCTTGCCATACGTCAGAATGAACTAATTCTAGAACATTTTTGCCTCTAGAATTTGACGTGTTGAATTTCAACCGGTGCTGCTTACTTGTTATGCAATGCTCACACAAAGTAAGTGATACTTTGTTAAGCCTGGAAGTAGCTTTTGCTCCACCAGAACTTTCATTCCTTGTTCTGACATGTGTCCAAGTTTCTGCCATAGCATTGCCAAATCTGAACTACATGAGGCAATAGAGACTTCTGCTTCTACCAAAGTCTCTCCCTTCAGCATGTACAAGTTTGTAGCTATTTTTTCGCCTTTCAGCACCACAAGCGCTCCACGGAACACCTTCATGATTCCTTTTCGTGTTTCAATCTTGCTTGTATTATTATCCAACAATCCGTAGGATAATAAATTTTTCTTCAGGCCTTTCACGTGCCACACATCTCGAACAACTTTGATTGTTCCATCGTACATCTTCAATTTGATGGTTCCCACGCCAACGATCTCTAAGGCGTGATCATTGCAACTATACACAGATCCTCCTGAGACAGGTTCATAATGATGGAACCATTCTCTTCTTGAGGTCATGTGATATGTTGCTCCCGAATCAATGAGCCATATATCTGCAAATCGTTTTCATCCTTCCACGGTGGTTGACGCTTCACAGCATAGAGCATCTCCATCATCTGAAGTGTTTGCGGTATTGCCTTGTGGATTGGAGTTTTTATTTAGACTCCAACAACCCTTCTTCAAGTGACCCTTCTTTCCACAGTTGTAACACTTTAAATTCTTCTTGCTTCTCGACTTCGATCTACCATGTTTGTGACTGCTGCTTTTGCCACGTTCTGTTGATCTCCCTCTCATCGTTGTCATTGTTTCAACGCTTCTGCTTGTTGTAGATTTACTTGTCTGTCTTCCTTGTTCTTGCGCCGATTTTCTTCTTGTAGAACAGCAACTGCAACGTCATCGAAGACTAGACTGGTGACATTACTGTTTGTCAAGTTGATGATGAGTTGATCATACGAATCCGGTAGACTTTGAAGTAGAAGTTCAGCACGTTCTTGTTCTCCTATTTTACAGCTTAAAGATGTAAGCTGAGAAAATAAAGTGTTCAGTGTATTTAAGTGTTCCGTCACTGAAGTAGATTCTGGCATACGGAGAGTGTACAATTTTCTCTTAAGGAAAATTTTATTGTGCAGCGATGTGGCCTCGTACAGTTTGGTGAGATGATCCCATGTCTCTTTAGCTGTCTTTTTCTCCTCGATGCTTGACAATACTTCATCTGATAATGCTAGATGAAAGTTTGCCATAGCATTCCCGTCCATTTCGATCCATTTGTTGTCATCTGTGAAATCTACCGGCCTTTCACTGATAGATGCTAGACACCCGTCTTTCCTCAGGATGGCTTTCATCTTCAATTTTCACAATGAGAAATTTCTCCCATTGAATTTTTCAATATCAAATTTCGTTGCCATAGTTTCTTTTACGGATAGCTCCCACTATTTCACTATCGTGAATAGTTCTATGGAACCTTCAAAGAATGGGTAATAACTTCTTACTTTCTTATGTTGGAGGATCCACCTTTTGGTGGCAACCACAAAGACAATAAGCAGATATTACACACTCTAATCTAGCTCTGATACCAATTGTTGCGGAAGACGGCTATCGGATAGAGCAAAATCGCAACTGATAATCTGAGAAAATAAAAATGAAGATAAAATAGACACAAAATTTACATGGAAAACCCCTAAAAATTTAGGGTAAAAACCACGGGCAACGGTAGAAGAATTTCACTATGAGAAAATAGGAATTACAACCTCTCTCGATCTACCAATGAGAAAACAATGATAATTCTCTCTAGATAAAAAGGAGAAAACAACTCTCAAGAAACTCTCTAAAATCTCTCTAGTATTGGAAGAAAGCTAGAATGCTTTGGGATGGTTTTGAAGCTAAATGAGCTAGGGTATTTATAGTTGAAACTTAAGGACTAATCTTATAAATACCATAAATTACAATGACTAAAATTAATTATCCCATTACCCAATTTCAACAAAAATTAGGTGCCTAATTTTTGACTTTGACAAAGCACCATTTGGTGCCTAATTTGGTGCCTAAATTATTTGACTTTTAACATATCAAAATTAATATATTAGTATGCATTAGAGATCAACATATTTAACTGATCCGGTTATGAGTGTGTTTTTCGGATTAATATGTAATAGTCACAACATTACGCATGTTGATAACTATGTATATGATCATTTGACTTGAGATAATCATTACTGAACATCACAAGTCGTATATTTTGATACAGTCAAATGTCTAATATAACTAGTTATACTATAAAGGATAATGTTGGATACACCACAGTTTATGTAGTGGGATATGATTGATCGATATAAGATTTATCTCTCATACGTAATGTGAATAATGTCTTTGACCAATTAATTGAGTGAGATTAAAAATGTATGTTTATACTCAAATAAGTTGATATGGGATATCCTATTTATTTGTTTATTGTAATCTACTCAATATATCAAAAAATATGAGATGAATTATAAAAGTATGATTATCATATGAAATGGGTCCAATATGGATATAAATGACAAAATGTATAATATATGAAAGATTAATCATAGAAAGGAAATGATGTCTAATTTTGAATTTTATACGTGGATCTATCAAGAGTCTTGTCTAGAGGTATTGTCTAGACATTGTAACCTATCTAAAGGTTAATGATGTTCTCACCCCTGGAGGTCAAGGATCCCTTAGTAACTCCGATAAGCGGAGGAGTTTGTATGGAACTTTCAACAGGTGGAGAATTAGTAATTTTCAGAATCATAAAATTACGTTCGAGAGAACTTTTATAACATCTCATCTTCATAAAATAGTGTCACATTCTTAAAATACTTATGTGTTAATTTAGGAGATCAAGATCACAAGATTTGAGATTTCAACATCAAAATTGAAGATTTTTAATTTATCGATGGATTCAAATACACTTGTGCATCTAAATTATTATTTTTAATGGTTTGATATGATAAATTTTGAGTTTTATATAAAATTTTATTTTGATTCTAATAAACTAGGCCATTCAAATATTAACTTTTATTCAAATATAATCGTTTTGTATAAGAAATGAGTTCAAACTTTAACTTAAAACTCAAGTTTAAGCATATAGATCATATAAACAAACTTAATTGAAATGAGTTCAAATAAGTTAGCTTTACTTTGAAGTAGCGAATTTTAAATCAAGCTGGACTTGGAAATATGATTGCAGCCTAATTGCATTGCTGGTGTGAGTCAGATTTATGTAGTAGTAGAAGGAGAAGAATTTATTTAAGATTGTTACGTGTGCCCCAGCTCACTAACTGTTCATTGTGTTGGAATTTATGTTGGATCTGGACTTTGGCCCAATTCTACTGCTCTGCTGTAATTTCTGTAAATCATAAAGCTGGTCCGACTGTAATCAATAATGAAGAAGGGTGATGCTGATGTAAACGTAATCAACAATGGATAAAATGGTTTCTGTATCAGAACTCGTAGGTAACAACTGACTAACCAAATGAAGTTTTTTAACTAATATATATAATATTCTTGCAGAGTTTAATCCATTGAACACTCGACTCTCTGCTGTAATTGGGGGCCATAAGCAGTTAGGATTGCAGAGTATATAAAAAAGTAACGTTTATCAAGCAAACTCCATAGCCTAATTTCTGGCAATACCAACCCCAAAATAGTAACCTGTTTGTGAAATAGAGTGACACAACAAGGGGGAGGTTGATTTGGCGTGTTGGAGTGGAAGTGGTCAAGACTCACGAGTCACCCCGCTCTGTCACTCAATATAAACGTGGTGGGTAGATTGAAAGGAGAGGCAAAACCCTTTGACATTACATAAAACCCCATTTGGAAAACTGATGTTTGAAAGGATCTTTTCTGTTGCTGTTTTTTTGTTTTCATTTCCCCTTTTTATGTTGCATGTAGTCAGGGCTATGAGGTAGCTTGTTTATTTGGTGGCTCGTGAAACGAGGCTGAGGTCCTTCCCGTTTGCTTTTAGCCTCAGTGTGCAGTGCTCCACGTTCAATCCTTGATTCAGACCTTCACAGAAATATTACATTAAAAAAAAAACCCACAGATTCATCTTTTGTTTTGTTTGTTTGCAATTGCATTGTAAAGGTGGCATTCAAGTACTGAAAAACAACTTCCCTTGAGAGACACTTTTCAGAATTTCAGATTCAGTTTACCCTCCTTCACTGCACACTATATTTAATTTTCCCTTCCTTGGGTTCTTATCAATACACTGCCTCTTCCATATCTCTCCTCTTCCATTTTGAGAAAAAAGAATGAGCTGCTCTCCAAGTAGGAGACACCTTATTGTGTCCCTGTTGTTTCTCCTGGTTTCAAGCTTGTCCAAAGTTACATTCATGGCTGCAGAAGGTAAGCTTCTTTTCTCTTTGTTTTAAAATGGAAAAACCCAAGTTCGATCATTGACTTCATTTTCACGCCCTTTCCAGGAAGGTCACTTTCCAGGTTACTTGATGTTGCCGAGGTATTGATGAAATCCAGGGTCATAATTCGGTTAATTTCCTTTCTCTTTTTTTTCTTGACATCCGATTAGAAAATGATGGAATTCGATGATGTTGGTATAAACAGAAAGGAATGGAAGAAGAGACGAGAATGGTGATGAGAAATCTGGTTGGGTCAAGGCCACCAAGGTGCGAGAGAAGATGCAGTTCGTGCGCACACTGTGAGGCAATTCAAGTTCCTATTACAACACAGTTCCAGAACCGAAGAAGCCGACATTTCTCAGATGACATGTTTTCAGTTGCTTACTCGAGAGGCAATGATGTCTCCAATTACAAGCCAATGTGTTGGAAATGCAAGTGTGGCAACATGATTTTCAATCCTTGATTTTGAAGTAAAACCAATCAATTAAAACAAATGTTTTAACTGTGGATAAAATAATAACTTCAATTTCTATATATATACCTTTGTCGTGTTCAGTCTCACTCTCTTCATGCATGTTAGCCATATGGTCTACAATGTAAAATCCTTAATTTCATGAATATTTAATGGTAATAATTTTGATGGAAAGTGACGACATTGGTGATTCCGTATGATACAAGATTTCTGAAAACACTGTAGAGAAATCTGAGAGGCACTGCTTTCGTTGCAGCATTTTCAGGCAGCTTATCTCGAAGAGCTAAATACTTAACCATGAAACACTTTGATTAGTAATGATGATAATCTGTAGGAAAGGATCTGCTACAAAATCTTTTCCTTTCCACCAAGCTTGCACATGCGAAATCATTGTACAGTTACAGTTTTGTAGATGTTTGGGAGAACTTTATAAAATGTAATACAAATGCAGCATTTCAGTATGGGACTTGGAAAGATTGCATGCAGAGACAAGTGATAGGACTCATCATCTTCATTCATTAGCCCTTGCAGTTTGCTCTTTCTTCTTTATTGCATACCAGAGATGACTGGTGACAATTCGTATGCTGCAACTTGATGCTGTGATTAGAAAACTTATCTTTCAAAAATGAAGAGGAAAAAAAAGAACAGATGTTTGATAGATAGATGAAGTTGAGCACCAACTGATGGCTGACACCACCAATCAAGCAGAATAAATTTCCCACCAGATTTGAGTTGTCATTCAATCAAACTTCAAAAAAATTAAGACGAGCAGTTTATAACCTAGTGATTTGCATTTGTTTGCTTATAAGAGAATCAATTAGTGTTAATGACAATGATTTCATTTAAACCTTGAGAGGTGCAAAGCTCAAACTTTAGTTAAAAAGTTCGTCTGCTACATGGCACTAATATTATCTCCAGTTATGGGTTTTTCCTTGTCCTTTTGCCTGTAAGCATGAGCTCTAATATTATCTTCAACAACAATCATATCTTCTGCAAATTAGTTTGAATATTTGTATCAAATATGAATTTATATTTAATACTTTTTTTTATTTTGAAAATATCATGTATTTGAAAAAATAGCTACAAATTCATGTGGAGACAAGGTCTTATTGATGAAAGGTGGTCTTTCTTTTAGAGTGAGGCAACAATCTACATTTTGAGATCACTCTTTTTTCAAAAACACATCCCCTTATCATGCTTCCCTGATAACTTTTTACCCTATCATAGTTGTTAAACCCTATGGGGAAAAAACCCACATTTTGAGTACCAAAAGTTGATTTCCTAAGAACAATAAGAGATTAAATAAATTCGACTGAACAAGACATATAGAGTTGCAGTATCTTCATCTGGCTGCTGATCCTTCTTTGACAGTTTAAGGTATATCCAAGGGTTCACCATGCTTAAGCAGCCAGCTAGTAGAAACCAAAGGTGTAAAGGCTTCAAAGTAACGCATGTTCTTCAAATATGTGCCTTGATTGCTCTTTGCATCTGGTTGTTGAACCAGTTTAAGAACAGTTATGGTAACAAGGGAAGTGGGATTTTCCAAACGGCGACGACCGAGCACAGCCATGTAGCCATAAAACTTGGGAGAAAAGACCTTGATCAAGGGGGTCACCTGCTGAGATTAATGAAGGTCGGGAAGTTGAAGAAGTGGAAGAGGAGATGGAGGAAAGCTGAGGAAAGCTGAGGAAAGCGAAGATGATGAAAGAGGTGGTGGGGATGATGAAATCGACGGACATGATCAAGAGAAAGCAGAAAGGGAAGAAAATGGGGAAGTTGAGGATTTCATTGATGAAGAAGATCAATACATAAATGAGCGCAATGTGCAGCACATGATTGATGACGATGATGAACAAAGAGGTATTACTGAGAAACTTGGCATGCAATCATAGCATTATTCTTTAACAGCAAGTGAGAAAGTAGGTATCACTAAGAATTGGGCCTCTAGATTCTCTATAGGATTCGATCAAGCTGCTTAGTTTAAACGTTACTATACATTAACCTGTATAAGAAATGTCAAAGATCGGCATTGATTAGGAAGATACCATATTTGAACTGTCATGCATCAACATGATTATATAACTTGTTAAAGTATCAGTTCAATGTATGCTTCCTTGATTCAAAGAGTTTTAACCATTCCATCATCTTTAAATGCATACACAATTGCTGGTATTTCACTATTTCTCATGTACTATGCATACACATAAATACTTAAAGCTATAAAAAATTTGAACCATAATCACTTAAAATTACGAACCCAAAGCTCTGGCAACAAATAACCGCATGATATTTTTATTAGCACCCCAAGTATAAGCTCCTAGGACCTATGACTTGGTTCCAAGCTAACTACAGATTCCAAAACACCATGATGGAAGTTTTTTTACTCATATTCCTTTATGAGGTTAGTTTTAAACAGCCTTTTATCAGTTGGAACGGATTGAGAACAATTTCAAAGTCAATATGTCCCTGTCCCTCTCAACATTATACTAAAGTAACTGAAAATAAATATAAATTTTAATTTCAGGTATGCTTGACATGACTTTGTTGATGAGCGTTCCACTGTAAAAGCATCCATATAATTGAAGTCCCTGTTTTTTCAGGAAAAAAGTTAAGAATAATTAGTTCTAGGCAAAATGTCAACCTCCACATAGTTGTATAGTAGTCAAAATTCAATGGAACTATAAAAGAAAGTGCAATGGAAAATGATACGCAAAAACCTTTAAACCAAATCATGGTGATTGGTTAACAAAAGACTTCTAAAATGAAAAATAAATGTCTTTAGAGCGAACTGAGATTTCAGCAAAAGATGATGATGCTATTGTTTTATATAGATCATAACATCCTAAAGAAGGTCCAAGAATATAAAATATGATATCTCAGGCTTTGGCAAACAGATAGATCATCATTTTTAGTTTGTTTTACCAAGGAAAAGTTTGCAGCACTTAAATAAAAAACCTTTTGATGTAAAAGCAGGGTCATGTAAAACACACTTGAAACAATGGCATGTGCACTCTCACGAGTCTCAAGAACACCATACCTGCAAATATTCCTACAGTTGTCAAATTTGATAGGACCATTGTGTGATAGAAGAGATATTCAGTCAAAAAGTGGCCAAAGGCATAGACGAATGACAAAAATGTCACCAAGTATAGTGGCTTATTTTCTAAGTTGAATGCACATAAGAAGCAGAGGGTACATGTCAAAAGCGTCCAAACTCCAAACGTCCTCCCATGAACTTCAGTCACTGCATATCATTAGAAACAAAAAGGAGAACCAATTATCAACATCTGGAATGATTTATTATTCTTCAGCAACAAAGAAATTGAACCCTGAGGTGGAAACCTTTTCGGAATTATTAGCAGAAAGCTATTCTATTAGCAGAAAGATCAAAAACTGCTTTAACTTGTACATTGGGGTACAGAAGGAACACTCAACAGCAAGAAATAGTCAACAATTTTATTAACAGTATGTAAATGAAAACATATCCATGGCATAGTTGACAAATATTGGCACTCAAGGTCAGATTATTATATTTTCCGTTCTCTCTACTCTCTATATAGAGACATTCAATTCCAATCTACTTTATTTTTTTTGAAAAAGACTTGTAATCATCAACAAGATTTAATGTGGGTAAGGTAAAACATATCAGAACATAGCTTTAATTTTTTTCACAGACACCTTCAAGAATCCAAAAAATGTAAATGTTAGACCTGTAGTTACTAAGGTCTACAACAGTAGAAGATTTAGTACACTATATTTATTATTTATAATGCTTTGATGGTCTCTATTAGTTGCATCAGTTAGTGTTTTTAATTTATTTTGTTTATTATGGACCCTAGCAGTTACTGACGATTATTTTGGCAGGTTATTTGTACTAGAAAGAAGGGAAAACATGGGCTGGTTTTGTAGTTAATTTTTGGGAGGAAAAAGGTAGCTCGAAGTACCTTGTAGTGTGTGGCAAGATTTGTGGATGTAATCTGCCATTGACAGTAAATGTTAAGGAGAGTGTCTATTTCATTAACTTAAATTTTAGGCAATCCTTCCTGTTTTCCCTTTCTCTATAGCATTTTCGTGCGATTCAATAGTGAACCATATATGCATGCACCTAAAGACCACGAAAGGACTAGGTACATTTTCGCATCATACTAAGCCTCAGAGTATTAACTTTCCTGACCATACAGTCAAAACCCAGATGTTTGCATCTTTGTTGAGCTCTGGAATCAAATGCTATTGCCTCCTAAGGCAAACCCATCCCCTTTCAAATTCTGAGGTTTAACAGTTTTTTCCATGTGTCCAAATTTGCATCAAAATTCACATGTTATCATCACTAAATTTTCATTTTGGAAACCATCAATAACCCCCTCTGTTGCCAGCATAGTCTTTTTCTTCGACTAAGCAAGGGCTTATGCATGCCCTTAGAGGTCTATACTTGAAGGTACAAGTAACACATCTAATTATTCAGATGCTCCAAATCTGTTTTCTTGTTTAATCCAATTCAGAAATCCAAAATCTTTCTCGGAAAATGGATCCTAAACCAATTGCATGCTTACTAAACTCATTGACCTTGTTATTTTTCAAAGCATCCACCATTGCATGATAATTATAGATTTGTTCACATTTTTACTGAAATAATGCATTTATTTAGTAGTAAAATTTAAATAAAAATAAGCCACAGAAGTCTTTGTGAATATCTGTATGTGGAGAGAATAATCCATCAGTCGATGCACCATTGAATCCACCCAATTCAATTTAATTCTCGTTTGCTTTTTTAGAACAAAAAAAAATATTACATTCGATGCAACTAGCTTCCCAAAAGCAGTGCTCCCAAAGCAACAAAGCTAACATCTTTTCTTCTAGAAGAAGCTTCAAAATATATAAATTTTGGGATCCCAAATCAACACCTTTCCGATATTCTTTAATCTGTGAAACTTCCTTTTCTAACTTAAGGAGACATAACCAAGCACTTGGAAAACGCACAAAAACAGCTCCTT